AGAAAGCGAAGGTTGGAGACAGGCCGGTAGTTGGCCAAAGCAGCCGGGTCCAGGGAGGGCTTCTTGAGGAGGGGCCTCACCACAGCCTCTTTCAAGGCAGCCGGCAAGAACCCCTCACTCAAAGAAGCGTTGACGATTCCCTGGAGCCAGCCTCGTGTAACCTCCCGGGAGGCCAGTACCAGCCAGGAGGGACACGGGTTCAGGAAACATGTGGTGGTGTTCAGCCGTCCCAGCATCCTGTCCATGTCCCAGCATCCTGTCCTATGACACAAATCTACCAAGGGATCTTTTATTTCAATTCTACTACATTCTCTGCAAGCTTTCTAATTATACATTTCCACTCCTATCCTTCCTTGAACATGTAGCAAAGATATCAGAACCTAACTGGATATTTATGAGCTCACTCCCCATTAAATCCAAATAACAGGGAGAGAGGAATACTTATAGAATAATTGACTGCAGGAGAGAAGAAATAGTGCATGTGTAACGTATGGTTAATATCCTCATTTAGACAACAGAGAGTGTTGCAGGGCTCCCTATATCTGCTTGGTCTGTCCCTAGCATTTCCAAAGCAGCCCTGTTCATGCAACCTGTGTAGATGGAAAATATATAGTACCATTGGTACTAGAAAACATAAGGAAAAATAGTATAGAACTCATCGGCCCTGGTAGCAATAAGATTATACCACTGTCATTTTCAAAGGACCCTGTTTCATAAAACTTATCATCCCACTCCCACTGCCCTACTCAAGTTACCTGTCATAATTTTTGTGCTTGCTCGCTTGCTCTGCTGGCTTCCCTTCACTGCCCAGATGTGGAGAACATATTCTATGCCTGGTTTCAAGTCTGTCAAGGTAGTCTTGACGTTATCCTTCCCAACAGGTACCTCTCTGGTTTCTCCATCAGCAGATGTATAGCTGAGGATGTTCTGTTCTATAGGTGCCCAGGCCTTGTTCCAAGACACAGTGGCTGAGTTTTCTGTCACTTGGTCTGTTTTCAGGTTGGTGGGTCCATCTATTTCTGTGAACCAAGATACAGTGTATTACATTTTTTTCTCAGTAACATTGGATTATATATTCTTTTTTTAAATCCTCCATTTTCTTAAAATGATCAGTCAATATTTACTGAAGAAGCCATATGGCCATGTGTAAACTTGAGCATAACTATTATCAATTAAATAGCTATGCTTGTTTCTTGATGTCTGAAAATTTAAATTAATTCATTACTAAAAAGGAACCAAGAATCTGGGAAAATAGTGTATTTGTACTGTTTCTGAATAGTTTTGTTTTATCAGAATTGTCATATTCAGTTTCAATAAAGGCTGGATATGTCAGGGCCCACTTCAATACCTCATCCTAAGAAAGTAGAAGTCTTGGAAACAGTTTCTTCCAAAAGGGGCTTTTATTAGGAGAAGCTGATAGCAGGCATAATAGACAGGAGGGTTTCCCACCAGATCGATAGGTAAAAAGCATAACCCCACCCCATAATTCATCTGGTCAGTTCAAACAGGCCAATCCCCAGGTCTTAAGTTCGTTGTGGGAAAAAGGAGATAACATCAGGCCGTCTCCTGGCTGCAACGATGTTTAGGCGGCACTTCGCACCTTCCCTTGCGAACGCGGAGTGGAGGTACATTCCATTCTCCTTCCCCCTTTACTAGCTGACAACAGGGGAGAGAAACTTCACAGAGGAAGAAATGCGGAAACAGCAAAGTGCTACATTGTAGCAATAGAGGAAAACAAGGCAATAACCCTCAAGCGCTTTCCCCCTCCCCTCCAGGAGTATGGCAGAACCCAGGGAGAGAAAAGAATGTGGTTTGGGTTTAGAAAGAAAAGGGAAAGGGAAAGAAAAGGAAAAGGCCCTTTAGAATATGGGTTCTGACAGGATATGTCAGAAGTATTATACATATAACTCTGCCATCTTGTTCTCATCATGCCTGATATAACAATTACTGTACTGAAAAGAGGAATGTCTGATTTATTGATGTTGCTAAAACAGATGGTGCTGGGATTGAATAAAAATAATTGGAAAAAAATTCAAAATACTGGAACTTGCAGATTGAAGTAATTCTTATGGGAAAAGAAATCTGTTATTATACCAATAGTGGCTGTAGCCCTTGGAGCGATACTTTAAGGACTTCCTCGATATCAGGAAATACATTGAATTTATCAGACCTAAACGCTCTAATTTACAAAAAGCCACCTTGTTTGGCAGTGCCCAAATTCTTAAATGCCACCTAAATCATTCTTAGGTACTAATTTAGGATCTGAATTAAGTTTTCACCACTCTTACACCGTGAATGTAGATAACCCATACATAATACACAGACATGCATACATGCAGATATATATCAATATATGATTATCATATTTAACCAATTACTATATTATTAAAAGATTTGTTATTTATTTGTCTGGTTTCTCAATAGTACATTCTGTCCAAAATTTAACAATCAGTACTTGCTTGACATCTTTCAGGTTCTAAATTCACAAACTGAATGTGACTTGTCTTGACAAAACTGAGAAAGGAAAAGAAGATACCTGATTTTTTCAGCAGACTGTAAATCTTCAATCTGCTGCCAGAGTTCTAGTACTCCTTTACAGATAACTTGTACAGTTTAGCATGTCTAAAAAAGAACTTCACTGAGTAGAACTAAAATAGAGGAACTCATGAAGATTTCACAATTTCTTATCTATGGAGTGAGTACCTGTTTCAGCTTCTGTGCTTGCCCTTCTGCTCTGCTGAGTTCCCTTCACAGCCCAGATGTGGATAGTGTACTCCATGCCAGGCTTCAGGCCCACAAGATTAGTGGTTCTCTTGTCCTTGTCAATGGATATCTGTTTGGTATCACCACCAACTAAGTTGTAGCTCACTACATAGCTATCAATGGGAGCCTGAGCTCCATTCCAAGAAATGGTTGCTGTGTTTTCTGTTACTCGGTCAGTTACTAAATGTGTCGGGCCATCAATGTCTAGGAAGGAAATAGACATTTAAATTAGGACAGTAATTCTGACAAGTTTTCCATTGTCTACCAGGAGCCATTTTTCAAGGTTAATTTAGAACATTTTGATCCTTGGGAGTATATAATACACATGGCACCCTTTCTCCCCACCAGTTAACAAAGGGCATAAGCCAACCTGAGAAGATTTTATGCCTGGGGCTGACACAAAGAAACCTTCCCATGGATGGTGCTCATGTGGGTCAGTTCTGTCTCATCTATTCTTTTAAGAGCAGTCAGAATTCACTACTTCTTTTGTAATCAGCTGATTTCTTCATCAAATACTGATTTAAATACTAATAACAACATCTGTCCACAAGCTCTTGTCAGAGTCACATTCATCATGCTTTGTTTTAGAAAATCTGTGTTGTCTTCTTAAGTACACTGGCTGTCTTCTAGTGGCATACTTCTCTTTCCCCCACTCAGATCTTTTCACTGAAAGTCATCACCGCCTCAAAGTCATCCCTTATTGTTTTATATCTTGTTTTTCCTCTTTTGCAGCAGCAAAGAATCTTTGCCTGAATCCCAGATTATCCCAGAGAATAGGGGGTCATACTGCTGGAACTGAGATGTAGCTTTCTCTGCTTGCTCCTTCAAATATATGCAGCATTTATGATAGTGATTCCACATATCAGACAACTCATTCTGAATCTGAGTTCTAGCAAAACCATTTGTCCTTCCATTTCTAGCATTCAAGTTGCCTCTTCAGGAGTACACTTGCTTAAAAATAGATATTATTACATAGGGGATTATATCCAGTGTCTTCAGCTGGACATCTTTTTTTATAATATTTTATTGATTTTCTATTTTTACAAATCATAAGTGCTTAGCAAACAATGTGTTGCCTGGGTTCATTTTTTACTTGAAGGTACATATTGAATTCCTAATCTCTACCCCTTTTTCCTGGCCAGTGATAACCTATATCCCATATTTGAAATTATTCTGTCTTCTTTTTTTTTGACCTTCAATATCGCTCTGTCCATTTCTCCACATTCCGATGTTTTCTTGATCCTCTCTTCTTCAGGTAATATTACTTCGTTTTTCAAACACTAAGCAAATAAAATTCTTATTGCTATTAATGCATACAACATTAAGTATATACTTCTTCATCCTATTTTTCTAATATTATATCAAATAAAAATAGTTCCAGTTCATAACATCTTTTCTATCCAGCTCATATCTCAATTATATTTGCAGTTAAGGCCACCTTATCCCCTGTTTTCCCAACTCTTATTTCAATTTTAGTTTCCCTTCAGTATTCAAAATATTTTTATAGGTTACAATTTTCTCAAAGTTGATTAAGTTTCGGTGAGTAAAAGTTTCCCTTGTTAAGAGCCATCCTGATGTTTTCATATTTTCCATCCCATAGAAAAGTATGCCATCCTAATTATAAATCCTATCTTTCTAAGTATAATGATCTTTTAGTATCTAAGAATTATCTATTTCTTTTAGCCATATTCAAACACCTGTTTGATAGTGTAGGGCCCCATCCAATAGGTCAAGTCCTCTATTTTTTTAAATCTAACTCTAGCTTTCTTCCTTTGTCAGATAAATTTCCAAATCGGTGTATTTATTTAGATCATCAAAGGATTTTTTCTCTGTTTTTATGAGTACTATTTGTAGTAGAAAAAGTCATTTAGGTAAGATATTTCTGAGGGGTAGTTCTATCCATTTATATTCATTGAAAATCTCCCACTTTCCTTCTCCCTAAGCTTCTCTTTTCATTTCTTATTTCCCAGTTTCTAACATTTCTCCTGAAAGCTCTATAATCTGTTCTATAAAGTCTTCTTCCTTATCTTCAGATATGTTCTGAAGTCTTGAGGGATGGTGTGCCTTTTCCATTTCCGGTATTATTACTAAGTCTTCCATGTTTTCTTTTGTCTGCTGCAGTCTGTAGTTTCCTTTCTTTGTATTTTCCATCTTTAGATCAGTTTCTTCTGGTTTGTCTTCTATTTTCTGAGTTCCTTGTTCCTTCTTTATAGTCGTTTTCTGAAGGTTTTCTAATTGTAAGTTTAAGTTAAAAACTTGTTCATTTATCTTATCCAAATTATCTTTAGTCTCATCATAGTTTCTTTTTGAGTCTTCTTTATGTGAATCGATTGCCTCTTGAATTGATTGCAATATAGATAGCATTTCCTTCTGAAAGTTGTTAGCTTTTACTCTCTGATATGCCAGGTTGGGGGCTTCAGAGGCAGATACTGGGGATGGTTTTTTGCCACTTTTAGCTAGGTATGGAGCACTCATTTTGTTCCCACCCTCTATTATATTTCCCAGGCTTATCTAACATGACCAATCTTATAGTCAATACAATAATATGCTACTTAAATTTAAATTTAAAATTCTTATATTCTTTGTATATAGCCTTTATAGTCCAATAAGTTCTAAAATATAGGTCCACCACCAAAAGGAGTATTTTGTAAGAGTTCCTTTGTCCAGGAATCCAAGAATTATCAGTCAACCGATGTTTGTAATCCAAAATATCCAACCACCCAACAATCAGTCCATAAGTCTCCCCTAGACAAAAGTAACCAAGAGGCAGAAAATCAAGAGTTAAAGTTCAGTCGATGTTTGTAATCCAAGAGGGTCAACAAGTTTCAAAACTGTTGTAACTCCCACCATGCAGAAAATAGCCCAAAATGTTTTTCTCCATTGCCAGCTACTCTCTGTTGAATTAAGAGATTCACTAAGGATCAAAGAAGCTAAGTAGTTATCTGTGTCTGGACTTTGTGCCAAGTCCACTCTAGACATAACAAAATTAGTGCTGTACCTCTCTCCTGCCACTAGATGTCCTTAGATATCCATTTTCCAGCACTTAAAGCAAACATTTATTTCAACTTTAAAGTTTCTTGAATTTCACCCGAATGTTCTTTCAAAAAAAGATCTTAACAGTTTTCTCAGTTCTCAAGATTTATCAAAGCTGTTCCGGTTTGCTGACGCGGCCACTATGGATGTCCAGAAGGCAAGCTCTGCCTTCCGCGTCCAGTTTCACTTCGCTGGGGGATCCCGGAAAGGGTCAAAAGTCACCCTGTAGGGGTGACCAGCAAGGAGGGGATCCCCACTTGATTGCGGGAGGGCAGTAGCCCTTCCCCTCAATCTGGGGCAGTCCTCCAAACCGGCAGACGAAAAACTGGCCATAGAAATATGACTCGTCACTAGGCTGCAGACAGTCAAAGTCACGCTTACCACCAGGCAATTATAAAGCAGTGTGGATGAGACTGGGTGAGATCTACTTCTCTTAAATCCTAACTATCTTTTTTACCTGCGTAAGCTGCTTAAAGTACTTTCCCCCCTGTGGAGAGGGAAGGGAGATTTTATCCCTCTCTCTAAAAACAGCAGCGACTGACTATCCAGAGGAGTTTAAAACGTTGCAAGAATAACTTGATCCTAATTGGAATTTTATTTTTTAAAGTTTGTGGACTAAAAGATTTTCTATTTCTAATGAAGATCTAGGTTTTTACTTATAAAAAAGAAGTAAAACTGAAAAGATTATAAAAACTTTGGACTTAAAATAAAACTTTAAATGGTAGGGGGTGACATCTTGTGGCTAAACCTGATATCACAACTTGTTATTGCTTAAAAGAGACTTGGCCAGTAGCCCAGACCATAGATAAGACTTATGTAACCTTGAGGCATCAGCTGTGAGAAGCCCAGCTGTGTTCTATACTCAGTGACAAAAAATTTTTTTTGCATTCTCTGATTGTAAAGCTTTTAACCTAATACACTACTAAGAGAATATGGATGAAGATCAGGAACAGATTCTCTTTATGTTGAAAGCAATTCACCAAACTATTCTTACAGCTACTGATGAAATAAGAGGTTACAGAAAAGAACAAGATGTCAGCCCAGATATACAAACTCAAACTTTGATTACAACTAAAAAATCAACTACACAGAATATAACAGAAAAAGTGGAACAATTAAATATTATGACAGAAGATTCAATTGATCAACAAATACAGTCAATGGAAAACCTGGAAAAGGGAAAAGACTTTCTACATAAATCAGAAGAAACCTGAGGATCAAGAAGAAGAACAGACTGAAGAGAAGATAAACAGTTCAGGACAACTACATCAAGATGGAAAAATAGAGAGATAATTTGCTAATCCTCTCAAAAAATGGTGACCAGATGGGTTTTTTTACAATATACATAACAAACAATATACATAACAACACAGGGAGATTTATTTGATGATTCAAAAGCACAGACATGAAAGACGATTTGGCAAAGAAAGAAAGCTAGAATAAGACTGAAGAAAATTGGGGTTTTGACTTATTAGTGAGAATTAAAATAGAATATACTCAAATAGATAAGATGTGTACTTTGAATACTAGATATTGTTATGAGTTGAAATACAGAAAACTTTGGTCATTTAAAACTTGGAAGTATTAACAGTTAAATTTGAACATTGATTTGCTCATAAAGGTTAAATATAAAGGTAATTAAGATATATATAAGCTAAAAATGTATCAATGGGTGTAATAAATATGTTCTTACTTAGCGGTAATAAAAATTACTAGCTTAAATATGAGATAGTAGATATTAAGAGAAAAAGAGAGGAAGTATTAAATGTTGAAATAAGAGAAATTTTGGTTACTAAATTTAAGATATTTGGAAATTACCAGAAAATGAGAATATTATATTGTATTATTAATCCGTTGATGTAAGATGGTGAGAATTCAAATAGATAAGATGTATATCCTGAACATTAGATCTTGTGATGAATTGTGATAAAGGGAATTGGGGTTATTTAAAACTTGGAAATTATAAATATTAAACGTTAAAATTAAATATTAATGAAAAACTAAAAATTGGGAAAAACTAACCAGGACATTGATTGTCTAAAAAGATTGAATGTTAAAACAACTAGGATATGTATAAATTAAAAATTATTGATAAATGTAAGAAAGTTGTTTTTATTTAATCAATATAATAAGAATTGTATTAATTTAAATATGAGACAGTAAATACCAAGGGGGAAAGAGAGGAAATATTTAATGTAATAGTTTGTGATCTGTACTAAAGATATTTGTATGTTATTGAATTATTGACCAACTCAGCCTCCACGTTGCTTTTCAAATATTTAAATGTAAAACTAGAAAATCAATAAAATTTTCTTTAAAAAAAAAGATTTATCAAAGCTATGTCTTTATATTACTTCCACTTTAGTATTATATTCTTCTCTGTTTTTGTCCCCCCCAAAAGAATTGAACCACCGCTTTCAGTTCTTTGGAAGGGTGGGGCAAAAATCCCCTTCCTTCTCACATTTGGGGAGTCTTGCTTTTTGGGAATCTGTTTTTTCCAGGGAGTCAAGTATCAAAATAGTAGAGAAAGGATCAATATTCTCACCCAGTTCCAAGCATGCTGTTTAAAATGCTGGTAAGTGCTTTCTTTGTTCAGTTGTCAGTAGCTTGGACTAGCCACAGAAATGCAGCCAGTCTTTCCCCTGCTGGTTTGGAGGGCTTTCCTTGGATCAAACAGATTGACTGCCGTCTTTTCGTGATCGACGAGGGTCCTTTCCTTCTTCATCGCCTCTCTGGGGCAACTTTAAGCCTGTTTAGAGCCCCCTGGCAGGGAAAAATCAGCCGTGGGAAGCAGCCATGCATTGTCACGACACAAACCGGAAGTCCCCTTCAGCTGGACATCTTGTTACAAGCAAGACAGCTCTGGCATATTTAAAACTTCAGACTAGTCTAATTCCTGGGAATTCCCAAAGAACCAGTGTTTTGTATTCCCCACATTTCAGACATATTTGTTTTTAGCATATTTGCTTGCCACGCCCCTTCCTCCAATGATGCATTCTTTTCTTCATGAAAACTGTTTTCCTGTCAGCAGTATCTTCCAAAGGTCTCAAAAGCTCCATAGAAGTAGAAATATCTCTTAATATACTCAATCATCCAACTTTTTCTTGAAAAGAGATCCTTGTGCCATGTTAAAGGGGTTTAGAAAGCCTCATTGCTTAGGACAACATGGAAAAATCTATATTCACTTTACAGCACCTTTGGTAGACTTCTTAAATAAAATGGGCTGCAATGTGGTAGTTTCTATGAGCAGCATAAGAACTATAAACACTTCAAGATAAACCAGACCAAGAAGCCAAAGTCATGTAGGCCATTATCACTGTTACTGTAAAGATATAGTAACAGAATTTTGCAGGTCTGGATGTGGTTTCTTGCCTTTACTACAACTTGGCGAGAATTGGGAAAGATTTTGTCTGAAACATTTTCTCATATCACATTTCTTCCCCAGAAATGTGTACAGATACAGAGTATCTAACCATTGCCTTGGTAGCAGATTTTCCTCCTGCTCTTCAAGGCCTTTACAAGAAAAGGAGTGAAACTGCTGTGTTTATTCCAAACTGCTCTTACCTGCAAATAATTGATGCAGGAAGGGGAAGAAATTCTAGCTGAATGTGAACAAGTACTCTGCCTCTTTCCCCCAGGAGCATCAATGTGGTTTACCATCACCACCATCTAGTTTCATGGTGAGTTCTCTCAAATTATAAATAATTAGTTTGATTTTTGTATAATTTGGGGACATTTTAAACAAGTTATGTGGAGTCTACTTTTCTGAGAGCAGCTCTTTTGTGTGGCTAGAGTAATATTCAAATGACCTAACCACTTGGCAGAGGTTATCTGTGTGGTCTTTCCACAGAATTGGCCTAAAACATCTTGTGGAGGGCCAGTTCTATGATCAGAGCCTGTGCTGATCCCTTGCTCCTCAGGAGTTGGATCATATTTTCCTGTCTCCTATGTAAAATCATGCTTGGGCGGAGGTCTTTCCCACTACTGTGTAAGCATTATATAGCTGCCCATGTGCTGGTAGAAAGCAATGCAAGCATAAAATTTGCTATCCCCGTTGCCAATCCCTACCATGCATCTATCATGTCTCTGCTGAGTCACTGTCAAACAGTATTATCCTAATTTGTGATGGTGCCATAATAAAGGCAAGGTGATTGGCTTTCTCCTCTGGCTTTGTTGCCACCTCCCCACTTCAGTAAATCATCAGCCAGCAGATAAAACATGTCAGCCTGAGCATTCTGATAACAATGATGGACTTCAGGATTTTATCTTCAAATGAGCTGCTTTGGAGGAGTGATTAAAACTGGCAAATACAGAGAAAGTAACAGATGAGCAGCAAAAGCTCAATTTGACATCCCTTGTTATTTTTGGGACACTGCAGTGAAAAGGAGGTGGACTGTTATATCTACCTTTGCTTTCCTCTCTCCTACTTGTTCAAATCCTGGAGTGAAGTTGGTATCAGAAATAGACAGGACTGGTATTTTCCAATATAAAAGGCATTCCAGAAACAAAACTACTTGTGGAGATACTGAGAGGGGAATTGTTGCAATGGTTAGTGATCAAAAGTTGGGCATGTGTCCTTGTCTCCCAACTCTTCCCAAACACATGTAAGACCTAGCTTTCAAGATAATGGCTTACAAATCATTACAAAGCTGTGGTGCAATGGTTCCAATAATCTCTTTTTCATACAGTGATACAGCTGGACAGTTTGTGTTTTTGACATCTATATTTATGTGATGCTTTTTTAATTTTCTTGCTGGTTTGCCAGAATGTGTGGTGAGGGAACCTATTTCTTTTAAATAAAGGACTGGTTTTAGAGAACTCCTGCAAATACCTCAAGAAAAACTTTGTTTGTTTATGAAAACATTCCACTGGAACCACAACTGTTCCTTCAGATGTATTGAAGACAGCATCATCTCCTTCCTCCAAAAAGCATTCTGATTACTGAGGCAAATGGCAGGAGTTAGATGAGGGAATGGGTCTTCACATCATGTCCCTGTGTCTCCTTCTTACTTGGCCAATGGTGAGTTAAATGAAATTCTATGTTAACAAAGGCAACTTCCTCTCTTTGGCTGGTCTATTTTATAAAGGTAAAAGTTTCCCCTGTCTAGTCTTGTCCAACTCTAGGGGACAGTGCTCATCTCTGTTTCTTAGCCAAGAGAACCAGCATTGTCCAAAGACATTTCCATAATCATGTGGCCAGCATGATTATACACTGAAATGCTCAGAAATTGTTACCTTCTCACCAAAGTGGTACCTATTTATCTACTCACATTTGCATGCTTTTGAACTGCTAGGTGGACAGAAGCTGGGGCAAATAGCAGGAACTCACCCCATCACCCCATTCAGATCTTGAACACAGCTACTAGCTGACAAGTTCAGTGTCTTTAACTGTTGAGCCATTGCACACCCTGGCCTATACTACATGACCTTTAAAATGTGGCTTAGAGAAAAGTAAGACTTTTCAATTTTATGTATTTCTTAATAAATTTATCTTTCTCTTTAAATATAAGGAATGTCTGTTAATATTCATTGAAAGCTGGGCTAAGCTTAATCTGCAACCAAGACAAAAATACCATGAACATTTTCTGATTATCTGATGCTACTTAATTATTTGGTATCCTTTTAGCATTCTGCATGTTCTTAGAAGCACATCTTCTAATAAGACTTCTGCCAAATTCAAATCTCCAGTCAAGGGACATTTTCTGATCAAGCCATTTTCAATGTACCAGCCAACAAATAACTAGCAAAGCTTCACTTACACCAATACTGTAATTTTTGGGGTTATACAATTAGAAGACTGCATTGCCAAAACTTGCAACTCCAGCAGTCTGCCCTCTGACTGATGTCATGCTAGATAATTCATTCTTGGGTGATTCCAAAGCCAAACTTGTGGTCTTCTTTATTCCAAAGCCAGGAGCTTGTGGTAGGCATCCCACACAGAAGCAAAACAAATGTATAAACATCACTGAGCACATAATATCCTGATGTTTTAATCTGAAATAGTCAAAATAGCCTGGGTTAATATCTGATACATTTTTAAATAGTTTCCAAAGGCTGGAAGGCCAAAAGGGTGGTCATCATGTCAACCTCACTCCCAGGTTTTCAGACTAGTAACTGAAGACATAGCAATAGGAAGTTTGACCTGCTACCACAGATGTATTTTCCTCTCCATGCATTGATTTTAACCATTAGCATAGAGCCTGCACTGAATATAAATCTACAATGGCCTTTGGTATGTGGCTTTTTGTGGGGAAGTTTCAATATAGAATTCAGGGCGAATAAACTTTGAGGTGGGGAGGTTTCTCCCTCAGATTTGTAACAGAAATTAAGGGGCAAAAGATTGTCAGAAAGCTTACAATGGTCCAATTATGAAGTGACTAGGTCATGAATGACCCCATGAAGGTCTCCCGGTCGAGAAAGGGCACCACAAGATGGATCACAGAGTTGCATACTAATTTCAAATGGGTATTACCCCAAAGGCTTTCTACCTGGAATCTGGAAGGCACAAAATTAGAAACATTTATATAAGTCCTACTCAAGTGGTTAAAATCTCTCTAGATTCAACATATGGGGGAGCCATACCCCCAACCTTCACATATGGAGATTAATCTTGAGCACAAAGCTATATGAACACAGAGAACATATATGTATCTAATCCATATATGTCAAGACTCTGCATACCAACCAAACAACTCACAGAAGTTGGGACCAGATAATCCCCTTTCTTCCTGGCATGCCTGTTGTTTCTTCGTGGACACTAGCTTTCAGTAAAGTGTGATTGGAAAGAATGGGGAGCCGTATTTGGCAGTCTCAGCTGAGTGGCCAATTGCTGCAACAGCTGTGAAGACCAATAGCAATTGTGTTGTGATATTGTGTAAGGATGTCATTATGCTACAAAAAAACCTTCTGTTTATACCTGTCCATCCATGTACAGAAGATGGCTTCCCTTCAACCTCATTCCTCACAGATGTGACAGTGATCTTATATTTGGTTCCTGGCTTCAAGCCTATGGAAAGAAGAAACAGAAAGGGGAAAAGATAAAATGGTCTGAGACATAATTGTACATTTATTTTATTTTCTGTCAAGGTTTAATGGGACAAGTTTGCTTTACATTTCCTCAATAATATGTCCAGAGTAATACTTTGACAACATATTTGAGGAAGGATAAAGTTTCACTTTGGTTCTACATTATTGCATTCAAAACAATTACATCACTTTTCAACTGTTTCTGACGTCATGGAAGTTGTTGGTGTAAGCTTTAATGTTTTGTATCAGATTGTATGAAAAATTGTTTTGTTAAGTCTATGGCTGCAATCTGCAGTTTTCATCATAGGCCACACCTTTACTCAGTGGTGGGATTCAGCCAGTTCACACCACTTCGGCAGAACCGGTAGCTAATTTTTTGCTGTCCAGGCCCAGAATGGACTTCCGGAAGCGGCATCCACACAGAGAACTGGTTGTTCACATATTTGAATCCCACCACTGCCTTTACTGTAGCAATATCACAACTACTGAACAGTTTCCATTCTAGTGAATTTTAAATTATCTAAGGCAGGGGTGTCAAACTTGCCATGTCACGTGATGTGTCACGACGTATCACGACTTTTTTCCCATTGCCAGAGCTGGGGTGGGCGCGACTTCCGCATGATGCATCTAGCCCATGGGCCGGCAGTTTGACACCCCTGATCTAAAGCTATTTATAATCTAATAAAGTGCTGAGAGGTTTCGTCGGCTCCAGTACTTCCTCAGATTTAGCTTCCTTTGAAGAAGGTCATAAAAGGCATTTGGAATTTTATAAAATATATGTTTTGTTTACTGATATACAGGTTGGGTAGAAATGATGCTCATAAGTATGGTGCCTACAGATGGTATACGAGACATATTAATGACAGAAAATGGTTGGTTTTTCTTTCTTCCCCTTCCATCAGACATTGCCAACCAGCAAAAAAATATCCATTGGTCACCCTCTTATCATGGGTTGGGTCTGGAGAAGCAACTTTTAACCAGGGCTTTTTTTTCATAGAACGCCCAGAACGGAGTTCCGGTACCTTTTTTGGATGGAACCTTGTAGGGTAGGCAAGGCGGGTTGTATGACGTGTGAGTTCCGGCACCTTTTTTCTTTTTTCTTTTTTAGAAAAAAAGCACTGCTTTTAACAATTGATTAATAATAATAATAATAATAATAATTTAATTTATATACCGCCCTTCTCCCGTAGGACTCAGGGCGGTGCACAGCATATTAGATACAAACAAAATACATCAAAAAACAAAAAACCCCCATAAAACCAAATTAAAAGCCAAATATTGGAAGCTGTGTGTCAATTAAAATTTTCTTAAAATCATCCCTACCTAAAATCCTCCCTAGGTCAGGCCCGCTTGCTGGAAAAGCCTAGTAGTTAGTCTAGTAGTTTAGTCTAGTAGTTTCATGGAAATTTGTCAAGGGGTAGCCTAAATTTCAGCTGCTAAACTTCATCTGGAGACAAATTTAGTGCTACTCTGAAATAGTATTAAACCTATACTCAAAAATAGTTTAGACAAAGAGATCAAGAATAGGGAGAGTTTTGCCTTTAGCAACAAAGACCAAACTGGTTCTTTCTCCCCACTTTATCCTGCATCTTCTGCAATAATAAGTCAGCTAAGTCCAACAATAATAAGTCATAATAATAATAACAACAACAACAACAACAACAACACCATAATAATAAGAATAATTATACTGGAGAGACCAAACGGCCTACAAGAAAGACCTACAATGAAAAACAGAAAAGAGGTTTTGGAAGACAAAGCACTACATGGCCAGTACATTAAAAAAAAATAGCAGGGAAAGCAGATAATAACAAGACCTGGCAATGGCTAAGAGCAGGAAAGTTGAAGAAAGAGACAGAGGAACTAATTCTGACAGCATAAGACCAAGCCTTAAGAACAAATGCATACAAAACCAGAATTGAGAAGACAACAACAGACAGTAAGTTCCACCTATGCAAAAAAGCTGAAGAAGCAGGTAACTGCTGCAAGAAGGTAGCACAGACTGACTACAAGCAGCGGCATGACAAAGAAGTAACAATGGTGCATTGGAAGATCTGCAAGAAATGCAATTTGCCTGCAAGCAAGAATTGGTGGGACCATAAAAAGGAGAAAACAATAGAAAATGAAGACACTAAAGTGCTCTAGGACTTTAGAATTCAAACAGATAGGCACCTGCAACATAGTACACCAGATTTAACAACTGTCAATACGAAAAACAAAAATGTCTGGTTAGAATAAAAGAAAAAGAATGGAGAAGATAATAAAATACAAAGACCTGCAAATAGAAATAGAACATCTGATAAAAGAAAACAAAGGTAGTACCAATAGTAACAGTGTATTGGGTGCAAACCCAAAAGAAACTGGAGCACCACTTGAACACCATCGGCATTGACAAATTCACCATCAGTCAATTGCAAAAGACAGCTTTATTTAGAACAACTTAGATCCCGTGACAACCTTTAACATCATAAAACCTCAACATCTGCCTATCCCAGATCCTTGGGAAGGACTCGATAGGTAGAAAAAAAATGCCAAATCCAGTCTGTACATCTGGCTGACTGTGTGGCAAACCATAAGATTAATACCATTAACATCATAATAATAAGATTAACACCAGATCGGCAATCAAGACATAGACATTGCCCCAATCAAGGAACTACTGATACAATCAAATAAGCTACAGTAACAGGTAAGCAATAGTCTAATCAAGGAATCACCAAGACTATTCCCACCAATATTGACAGGGCAAGCCAATAGTATATAAAAATAAGCACAAACTCCACTCCCTTCTAGCCCTGATGATGTTACCTAATCATCCCCTAATAATCATTTGGTAATGAAACATCTCCAAGAAAACAACCAAACTTAGGGAGAATCGAGGACCCCACAATTAGTCAGATGCTGTTCAGACTGATTCAGATCTCCAAGCTGGCAGAGACCAGACAGTCAATGAAGCACTTCATATTGCGCTTACAGAAAAACTGCCACAGGTACAGGATGGTGATGACATGAAGACATCATGAGGACATGGCAGAAAAAAAGAGACTGCTAGGGCATGTTTGTGGATGCAAATCGAGAAGCCTGTTATAACATTCTACCCAGCCATCATTGTGCCAACATATCAGTGTTAACAAAGACAGGTTTTGCATTACCATAGTTATATTTTTAAAATGCATTAGCAATCAATAGGGGAGAAATTCTGCAGTTATCCTTCGGTTCTAACAGAAAGTAAAAGAAAAAATGATATTTTCGAATTGAAGAGAAAGGAAGAAACAGAGACTTTGATTCTATATGCATTGTAAACCAGTTGTGTGTCAGGGCTTCTGGTTGTCTGCTGCAGCGTTCAGCTATGTTCTGTGTTCTAATCCTATATAAAATGTTTTAAGCTTCTAATGCAGGAGTAGGCAAAGTGGAGCACATCTTTTAGGGTTCACCTGCCTCTCTGCCATTTGTGGACTTCAACTCCTAGTATTACCCAGCCAATAATGTTAAAGTTGCCAAGGTGGAGAAAGACTGGTCTAAAGCCCCTTGCTTGAGGCTTCCTTTCCAAAGAAATTGATCTCTATCCCAGAAATGGAACGCACATAACAAGACAATAAAATATAAATAGACGAGAACCCTAACTCTGAAAACAGAAGCTTTTTTCATTCCTGCAATTGCTCAGCCAACTTGGTACCAAATGAACAGATTTTTTGCCCTTAATCTGGATAAGCACACATGGACCCTTGATTGCTTACCTGTGATGATATATCTGCTCTTGACTTCGTTACTTTTGGGAACCACCACTTCCTTCTCCTCTCCAGGCAAAGAACTGAACCTCAGCTTGTAGTAATCCACTTCTGCTGCCAGATTTTCCCACTCCACTTCCAATGAGTTCACAGTCTCCTCCGTCACCCAGATAGGCCCAGTGGCAGAAACGGCTAAAATGAACATTGACAAAGAGGACTCCAAGACTACAACAGCCAAGCTTTTTTGTGGACAGTGTTAATTATAAGGACATTTTAAATATGGAGAATTATGTAATCAATTAGCCATGCTAAACAAAGGGATGCATTTATACTTGCAGCTTTCCCAAAATTCTCTAACCCTACATTTTTGTATTAGCCTTCAACTAATACAAATACATTTTGGTATTAGCCTACAGCTTCTGCTACTGGGATGGGCCTGCATGGCAGTCATTTTCTAAAATCCATCGCTGTAGCAACCAAAGTAGACTTTTCCAAAAACCATGCTTACCCTCCTGAATATATCTGTATAAATATAATTATGTTTATATCCATTTTTCCTTCCTGGTTCCTTTTAGATATTGATACTATTGTACAAATAAATCTTTCTTCAGTATAAAAAACACACATGCAATTTTAGGATAAACTAATTTTAAGATAAATTAGGGTCACGTCAGCATTTGAGTTAGTCCTCCTTCTTAGGAAAATCACAGCACTATCAGTAATTGTGAGGACCAGAGACCATCTTAAGGTAGCATCAGTTTATAGACAGACAAACATGCTTTACTACAGGCCAGAACTTAAAATAAAATATAGACACAAAAGGCAGTAATACACTATAAAATAAAATAAAATAAAAACACACATTTATATACCGGTAAGTTTAAAACAAAATATGGTACAATACGAAAATTGTCCTAAAAGTAAATTTGGTATCAATAACAGTAATTAAATCTTTTGATGTAATATGCGTTTCTTGCAAACATATAATATCATTTTTATATTGTTTCAAATAATGAAATATTATGCCTTACCCATAATATTAGAAAGTTTTAATATTTAATTCTTAGCGACATAGATATCTAAATGGAATCAAGATGGTGGCCACAACTACCATATGTGATCAAAGCCTTGACCCTTTTTATGTCCATTGCTCCTCACTCATTCTCCCACCTGCCTTACGTCAGAGGGATACAACCAACTAGTGGCAAATAGTTGGATTAGAAGACCTCCAAGGTCCCTTCCAATTCTATTAATCTGAAAATTTAGCTAAGCCTGCCTATCATCCACAGGAGGGGATGTCAAGCCTGAAGTAGTATAAATATCGTATTTTGAATGCATCTTACTGAACTGATTAAGATTAATGTGCATTAGTCATATATGCATATTATGATTAGAGGAAAGGGATGGGGTTTTGATGATATGGACATAGACACCATCTTGACTTTTTTTTAATCATCACCCCTTTCAGACACACCTATCTACAGGTAAAGTGGACAGAATATCCTCACTGTGAGCATATAGCTTCCCCAAATCTTGTTCAGAACACACACATTATATTCACACAAATGGACATACTGTGCATGTTACCTGAAATCCTCACTATGACAAATAGGTTTTAAAATAGTACAGTATTCACTCATATTAATGATTTATAATAATAATAATAGTAAAGTTGGAAGGGACCTTGAAGGTCATCTAGTCCAACCCCCTGCTCAGGCAGGAAACCCTATACCATTTCGGACAAATGGCTGTCCAGTCTCTTCTTAAAAACTTCCAGTGTTGGAGCATTCACCGCTTCTGGAGGCAGGTTGTTCCACTGGTTAATTGTTCTCACTGTCAGGAAGNTTTCTAAAGTCTCAACATCTTTTTTACATCGCGGTGACCAAAACTGGATGCAGTATTCCAAGTGTGGCCTTACCAAGGCATTGTAAAGTGGTATTAACACTTCACGTGATCTTGATTCTATCCCTCTGTTAATGCAGCCTAGCACTGTGTTGGCCTTTTTGGCAGCTGCAGCACACTGCTGGCTCATATTTAGGTGATTATCCACTAGGACTCAGAGGTCCCTCTCACAGTTACTACTATTGAGCATGGTGCCACCTATGCTGTACTTGTGCAGCACAAGAGAGTGTTTCTTTGAAGATCTTGAAGAAGAAAGATCTTTCTTCCTCAAAAGTACCCAGTAGGATTATATTTTATGACACAATAAAAAGCCTCCATACATGATAAATGCACTTTTTAAAACACTGATTTGACTGAAAACATGAGTTTGGGGCAGGGGAAGTTTTCTCTTTTCCTGAGATTCTCCCCCCATCCAAAAAAATATGCTTCCATACATACAACAGGCATTAAAACAATCCACAATGGTCAGTGGGGTTAGGGTTACTGGATGGAAGGAAAGGCTTCATTTCTGATCTTTAATTATGAGTTTTTGTCTTTTTCTAAACCTGGAGATAGGAAAAGGTACCTTGGAAAAGAAAGCTTTCAAACCCTCAGGGAAACTAATTTAGGCCATGGATATTTACTCCTCGTGTAATTCTTGGCTGTGGCTATGATCATGAAAAAAACTACCCAAACTCTGGAGAAATCTTGAGGGAACTGGATTCAGAGGGAATATTAGCACCATCTGCTAAAGTATTCAATTAGAGTTAATTCTTGTCTTTAAACTGTTGTTTTTCAGAGAGAAACTGCCACTGACATGGCACAGATGTACACATAATTCCTCCCCCTCCCACAAAAAAGGACAGAAAATCTGAGTGGGATGAAATGTTACTCAAGTCAGATGGGTGTACCCACTGGCCTCATTTTGGCTATGGAGGTAATCAAGGACAGAAACAAATGAAAACTATAAATTAAGTAAGTAGATAAAAACATTGTAAAGAGAGTTACAGTCAAGCTGATCCCTATCAGCTATTTTCCTTTTTTTGTAGGATACTAGAATCCAAGTTGGGACAAAATGTTAGAAATAGCTACCATTTATTCATTGAGACATTTGTTCATTCAAACAGCCATAATTCATACAGGGTACCATTTCCTTAAGAAACAATGTTTGCATTATTAGTTTTTCAAAGTCTCAGCCTTCTGTTGATGTAAAGACCCTTGCAGGTTTAAAGATAATGGAAAGGGAATTGCAGCGTCCTACCTGTGCTAACTTGCAGGAGTTCTGGTTCACTGAAGACTTCCTTCTTTGCATTGCGAAGTGTGATTACATATTCTGTGCCAGGAATCAGACCCAGAATCTCATAATTTGTCTGATCTTTGGGCACCCTTATTTGTTTCATCAAGGCCTCTTGTCCAACAGGAAAGTAGCTGATGAGGTAGTAGTCCACATCTGTTATCTTATCCCAGCCGATGACTAGGGAATTTTCGGTGGTTTTAAGGAGACGGACATTCCATGGGGCAAGCACTATTGGGAAATAATGGGAAGATTTTAAAATAATGCACACTGTGAGTCGAGCAAGACATATCACGTTTCATTTTGTCTGCATAATTTGCTTAGCAATGTGTAGGTGAAAGCATCTCATTTTTTATATAATTAGTGGCACAAGTGTTGTCAATATATATTTGCTGACACTGTTTTTCATGCATTAAGCAGCAGAGTGTCCAATTCTTTCAGAACTCAATTTTTTTCATCATCAAGTGCAGATCTGGGACCTAATAAAATCTACCCATTTTAAATTGCATTAACTTAAATTGATTTCCTTTTTTTCAAGCAAAATGTTTGATCAAATGCAAGGAACCCAGAGATAACTTACAGTAACTTTAGAAGAAGAAAAAAGAAATTTTGTAGATTTCTGTTATCTTCCTTTAAAGATATAGGAACTGTATCTTTCTATGGCTATCCAAGTAAAGTCAAAAACACCCTTTCATCAGAATGGCAGTTAAAATCCTTGACAGTTCAATAAATATTGATATGCAATATAAGAGTCCATTAAGTGACTTCATGTAGAAAAATAAGTAGATTAGAAAAGTATCAACTTCGCTGGAAGAGAAATTGGCACTCTTGAAGTACTTAGCTGCACTCCTTTAAATAAGGAATAATGTACTTCGTATTCACAAATCCTATGGCAAATTAAGCAGAGCTCCCAGTTCAGTGAAATTGGAATTAAAAAGGACAAATGCAGCTCCCAAGGAAACAGGGAGAATCCCAACCAAGGCCTGTGGCGTCTACATATACCTTTAGCCTCTTTCATATGATGTGACCATATGAACAGCAACCTAGACAACTTTTCAATCAAGGGCAACCAAACGATTTTGCACAACTACTCATACATACATCATACCATAATGGATTTTGTTTGGTTGTAATATTTTTAAAATATGGAAAGATTTTTGGAAAATTGGAAAATAGTTTTTTTCAAGACCTTCCCATAAACGTATTTGACTGAAAAACAAATAAAGGTTGAGAGAAGAGAACAGGAGCAGTTGCCTAAGGCCCAGGATTGGAGAGGACTCTGCCCAAAATACAATTCAGTTTTTGAAATAATACAATGAATTCAAGACACTAAAACTGATCAGTGAAATAGCTTTCCAAAAGTTATTCAATATTTTGAATTTCTCTAAGCTCTCTCATATTGACATAACTGATTAAAAGAAAGGCAAAAAGAAGAGAGGCATCCTGGCCTTGCATGCAATGAGGGGGAAAGTGTGGGTCAAAGGCGATTCTGCTCCCCTCTTCCAGACCGGGTTGTGTTGAAAAAGCAACGGCAGGATGGCCGCTCAGTGAAATCTTCATTTGGAGACAGCCGGGGAAGGCTCTTACCTTCAGAGCAGTCCAGCCCTGTGAAACCACCCGTGCAGTAGCACTCGCCACTGTCACAGTACCCATTGCCACTACAGTCATTAGGGCACCTCTTCTCACTGCAGTCCTCTCCAGTGAACTCCTGATAACATCGACAGACCCCACGGACACAGGCCCCGTTTCCACTGCAGTTCTCAGAGCACAGGAGTTGACTGCAGTCGTCACCAGCGTAACGGGCATTGCAAACACACCGGCCATCAATGCAGCGCCCATTACCACTGCAATTTCCTGGGCATGTGGGGTTGGAACAGTCCTCTCCTTCCCAGCCTTCCTCGCAGTTGCAGCTGCAGATCTCTTGGAGGAAAGTGCCATGGCCGCTGCAGGATGACACCCCTGTTCAGCAAGAGGCCCAGAACATAGGAGAAAAATGGAAGACAAAGACATATGGGCACCAAGATCCCAACTCACCTGGAAAGAATAATGAATACTGACACCTTGTTTTAAGCAAAAAGCACCTTGAGCTAAATGCTGTCTTTTTAACCCTTAAGCTAACACATGCAATCTTGCCCTTTACTTTTAAGGATAATAATAAGATGGTGACTGAATTTTTACTGGGTGCAGAGTAGAATAGAATAGAATAGAATAGAATAGAATAGAATAGAATAGAATAACAGAGTTGGAAGGGACCTTGGAGGTCTTCTAATCCAACCCCCTGCTCAGATAGGAAACCCTATATCAGTGATTGCGAACATTTTAGAGACCAAGTGCCCAAACTGGAACCCAAAACCCACTTATGTATCGTCGGGTACCGGGTGGGCATGGCCCATTGGGTGGGTGTGGCCCATTGGGTGGGTGTGGCCCATTGGGTGGGTGTGGCTGTGGTGGTAACGGCAGACTGGGTGGGACTGAAAAGTTCAATCAATCAATTCCAACTTTGTGAGATCTTTTTTTTTTCCAGCAAGAAGTTGAAATTGATTGATTGAACCTTTTTTTGTTGCACACGGCGGCGGAGGCCTAAAGCGAAAAGATTTTATAAAACCCAGCTGAAGGCCTAGGACTGGGGCGACGGTGCACGTGCCCACAGAGAGGGCTCTGCGTGGCACCTGTGGCACACGTGCCTTAGGTTCGCCACCACGGCCCTATACCATTTGAGACAAATGATTGTCCAATCTCTTCTTTAAAACTTCCAGTGTTGGAGCATTCACAACTTTTGGAGACAGGTTGTCCCACTGGTTAATTGTTCTAATTGTAACTCTGCAAAAGAAAACCCCATGAAATTGTTTACAGAACTTCAATAGTCTTGAAGTCCACTAAGCTAAATCTGGATCCCCATCTATGGATGATAAGCAAGCCAGTGCTTGGTGGGTGAGATAAGGCAAGTGTCGGGCAAATGATAGGGCACAATATACAGTCAGCAGGCTATACAACTAGTTTCCTCACCTTGCCCTCTTCCACAACAGCTTTGAGAGTTACAGATCTCTTTCAGATGTACCACTTCTAGCTCTAAATTTTCCAGTCTTTCCAGCAAAGCTTTAACATGTTCAAGGACTTCACAGTCTCTTTTAGGAGTTTGCAGCTGAATGTTATGCCTGAATACAATGTTTTGCTCCTCGCCTTCATCTGCTTCGCCATTAGTGAACAACATGTGATTGTTGCCTTGGAGAGACCCTGGGTCTGGTTCCACCTTGAACTGAAAGGACTCGGGCAAATTAATTTTATATGAGTGACTAAAGCTGATCTTCTGGCTTTGGTCAGAGCAGTTTTCAGGCTGAGCAGGCAATTGTGTCAGGACCTCCAGGAAGGAGCAGTGCATCAGAATTCCCAGGAAAATAATCCACATGGCCATTGTGCTTCTGTAAATACAAGAATAGAAAGGCTCAATTGAGGAAACAAGAAGAAAAGATGAGGTAAACAATATAACAGCTATTTTCTAGATATTATAAAGAGGGAAGGAAAAATATTCCTGGCAATCTTGACTGGGGAATTGATCAAGAGCTGATCTAGACTCATTGGGCATTGATTATCCTTGCAGAATGCACTTTGACAATCCCTTGCTTCTTGCATAATAAATACATACCTAAATACATACCCATTCCTTTACACCATGTAACCTATGCTTTTCTGTTGTTCACTACGTGTAGGAAGTAGGTTTGGGAGGAGGTTTTTTTTTTAAAATGCTTTCAACGGAGCATTTAATCATGCATGTGCCACTGAGCTTGAATTATAGTTTGACTCAAGGTTTGAGTTTTTTCTGCTTCCCAAAAGTATGAAAAGTGACACATAAACCATCAGAAGGTTCCTAAATTAATTAAGACCCCTCTGAGCTAGACTTGTAGAGCAAGATTTATGCCTTGTCAGACAAAGTAGTTTTCTGTTTATGCTATGTGTTTCTTCATGGATTGGAGGTGGAATATACACATTAAGGAGCAAGAAGTAAACCTGCTGGAGGAAGCAGGCAACCAAGTTAGAGAAAGGAATTCTAGGAGGAGGAAGGAGGGATATATGACTGAGCAGCAAGCAAATCTGGAAGAAGGATCTGTAGAATGGAGTGCCTAGACAAACAACTGTAGTTCCCTTGGAAAAGGAGTAATAATGCAAAGAAGCATGACCAAGGAGATAGCTTTCCAAGAAGCTTAGGGCTTGTTTCCACCCTCCTCCCTAAGCTGCAAACAGAAGTAAAGGTACAGGTAGTCCTTGGGTTACAACATCAGTTGGGACCAGAATTTCCATTGCTAAGCAATGCTGTCATAAAGCACAATATCACATGACCACATCACTTAGCAATGGCAATCCTGGTAGTGGCAGTTGTTGTTATAACCCTGGGAAGAGTTGGGAGTTCCAGGCAAGCAGGCTGTGCTGCAGACAAGCCCTGCAGAATGTGGATGTGTGCATAGGTACCATGGGTGTGCGGGTAGGTGCTATGGGCAAATGCTACAGAGTGTGGGAAGGAACAATTTCTGACTTCCTGTTGGCTTCCCTGTTGATTCTGCTTGTGGGAAGCTCACAAGGAATGTCAGAAATTACGATCACGCTGCGAGGTCATAATCGGGAGCTGGGCACCAACCACTTGGATTGCTATCACTTGATCTTGGAGACACTGCAGCAGCTGGAACTCTGAAGAACTTTGAACAATTGCTGAAGGAGTGTTTGTAACCCAAGGATTATATATAAGGTAAAGGTGTTTAAAGAGGAAAATAATGTAACAAAGCAGTGATAAAGTTTAGCCAATGGTGTAAGATAAGGGAGGGTAATTTCAAGCAGTTAAGAAACTCTGTATATAGATGTATGTTTATTTATGAAGACCATTAAATATTTCATTTATTTGTACTGTTACAATAAAAAAAAATCATTTGAGTTGGCAAAAGAAACCCTCAAGTTTGTTTGTGGTGATTAATTTTTGTTGCTTTGACAACACAGGTCTCTAGTATCTGAATTGTTAAAGTTCAGCAAAGCTGCATCCATATCCAGGACGCTCTGTTCAAACAAAGCAAATTCCATAGTGGGGTCTGGGGGCAGTGCAAAATTAATCATTCATTGTTTATACCTATCTACCTACAAAGTTTGAGCTTTGTATAACCACCAGAATTTCATTTCCTGACAGAAGAATGAGAAATAGTGCTACCTAATCATTTCTAAAATGGAAATTTCCTTTGGGCTCAAAGAACATAACCTGAAAGAGGCTTACAATTTCATGAGTATATTGTATTTTTCTGCTGTGTTTGGATTGCACTGGTAATCCAAATGAATTCAATGAGATGTTAACATATAAGAATAAGTTATTAATTTCTACTCCAACTTTGTTTATCAGAAGAAATGTCGCTAGAACGGTTCTGCTGAAACAAAAACATTGCACTGGGTTTTTCTAAGTTTGAGCAGTTCTGCAAAGTTCATTTCTCAAAATATGGGCCAAATCTGCATACAAAGTTTATGCTTCAAACAATGCCTCTGTATTTTCCTGCTGCCATCTAATGATCATCCTAATGTTTGCAACCCACATCTGGTAGAAAGATCTGTTTGACAAGATATACCTTAATTAGCTCGTTTGCTTTATTAGCTAATAAAAATTATTTCAGACATAGAGCTTGAAATCTATGTAATGACAACATACCTGGAAGGCAGTAAATTGGATGCCAAAAATGATGCTAACTCTTAGATACCATTTTTATCTGTTCTGATCCATTCAGATCTGGGTGAAATTGTGGCTACAATGGACACATCATGATATCTAAACCTGTGTCTGCACACACACATGCAGTTTTGGAGTTAGTGTGGACTCCTGGTAACTGTCTGGATACGTTCTTGCAGTTTTTTTGGCAAGAAGTGGCTTGCCTAGGGCTGAGAGAAAGTGGTTGGTCCAAAGCCAAAGTGGTTGGCTTTGCATGTAGGTGAGACTAGAACACTCCTCGTTTTTAGCCTGGTGCCTTAATTATTAGACCAATCTGGCTCTGATTATTTTCCTACCATGTGTATATTTTTTTCAAATTTTCTTTCTTGATTCTACAGTAAGGTTCCGTAATGATATCACTAAAACTATTTTTTTAAATACAGCTGTTGGGCAGAATGAAATCAATGTGCAATTGTTTAAAAATCAGCAAATGCAAATATTTTTTGCATCTTACCTTAAAATGATTTAATCCAAAACAATGTTTAGATTGCACAATAGATATTCCAGCCAGAAGCACTGCTTGAGGGAAGTTTTAAAAAACAATTATTAAATGACCAAATAGGCTCCTTTCTCTTCCCATCTCATCTCACAACATACCATTCTTCTGAAATAGCTTCTCTTCCCAGCTATCCTGTGGTTTGGCTGGCTACCTGTCATCAAGGACATTGCTAAAAATCTGCTATTTTATTTTCCAAACTTTTCTCTCTCACCACAGAAATTAGTTATCTCAGTGTGCCTCTAATTCCTAGTTTACTCTGAAAAACATTATGCCAAAACTTTGGCTTTAAACTGCCTAAATGATTGCAATAAAGTGCAATAAGGATGATCCATGACCTTATTTGGCAGTGCTTTGTTCCAAAACTGCCAATTACAACAAGTCATTCACTCTTTTAAATAAACCTCCTTCCTTCAGTTTTGCCGCATGACATTCTGAGCCACAAGCGTGACTTTGTAATTAGAGTTTTTCAGGGCCACAAATTGATCCCAGCTTTGCTTGTTGTAAATCCATCAGAGTAAAATTCATCTTTTAAGTAGCCTAAAGATGGGCCTGACTTTCTTCTTGGGATAGAGGCCCATTATATAATGAACTCATTGAATCACTAGGTATGAATTAAGGAAGAACCAAGACATTTATGATTAAATGGACACGTTGCAGTGAATTATAGCAGAAAAATTATCTCTTAATAAGGCCTATTGGGTGACATCTTAACTAGCCTCAGCAAAGATTCTTCCAGATACCAAAGAAAATTAGTTGTTCCACAATAATGTACATGAACATTATTTGGCATGGTAACAGTAATTTTATGAAAGGGCCACTCTGAAGAGAGGAACATGGGATTGCATTGAAAATGGCAGGAATCTTTGCCGACATCTGTATTGTTTTCTTGCAAACTAAATTGTCATCATATATATTCCCTGCTTACCTGTGTGCACATAAGGGTCTCAGTCTAAAAGGCAATTGGACTTACATGACACAACCCCAGGGACTGCTTCCTGGGATAGGGATGGGAGCAATGAGATCTCCCTGTGTAGGACAGTCCCAATTTCCATATCCTGTATAGGACAACTGGCACCAGAAGAAAGAAGTTCCCCAGTTTGTTCTTTCCTTCTTGTAGCCACCATCACCATCACCAAGGCTACAGGGGGTGACTCCCACCAGGCACATAAAGACGAGGCAGGACTTCAAGCTGATGGACATGCCCATCTTTTGACATTTTCAGCCATGTATTTTGTGCAGATTTTTATTTATTAATTTTTTATGTCACCCATCTCACAACTGAGCAATTCTCAGACACCTTAATATCTTCATTTTTCCTGATATTCACTAGCAAAAACTGTGTGTGTGTGTGTGTGTGTGTGTGTGTGTGTGTGTATTTAGGTACCTTTTGGTTCACTTTGCAAACAAATCCAGTATTTAAGTAATTATTTTCATCATACTTTAGGACGAAAAGGAAATGTGTTATTCTCAAGTTTCTGGAAAACCATCCAAACCCATCTCTGAATTAGTAGCCAAAGCAACATATTAGACAGAGAATTGATATTTAATAGGCTACCATTTTTGGAATAAGTCCCATAGAATCTCATCTGCTATTCTTTCTGCCTCGTTTGAAATATGGAGTTTATTACAGTTGTTCTATTTTATAAGGTTATGCACAAATTAGTGATAGTATATCACTATATAATATATAAGTATAAAAATCATCTGAAGTTGAGACTCGCACTGTGCTGGAGCAAATACATGTAAGAATTCAAACTATTAAGGTGGCAGAAAATATATATGTGCCAGAATTATGATAAAATAGGAAAATTACATTATTAACTTAAATTAACAAATTTGGAAAGTAGTGAATCTGGAACTATTAGAAGAGGAATATTCCAAACAGGTTCAAAGTTGTTGTTTTAGTTTTGGATTTAACATACCAAAGTATATTATGTTTGAGGCTATTTGAATAATAAATATTTTTGATGTGATTTATTTTTATCCTTACTACAAGCATACAATGCTCCAATGAGAAATTTTAAAATGTTTGACAATAGTGCACACAGGCCTCACACCAAGATACAGAGTTCTGAACCTGATCTTATGTATGTTTATTCAGAAACAATCCTACCTTGTTCAACAAGAATAACTTCTGATATATTAGGCAAAAAATGAAACAAGACAATTTTTTTAGATGACC